CTCAGGGGCTACATGCCAGGATGTGCAGAGAAGCCTATGCATACTATACTTTTTATGCTATGATAAATATTTTATTTATAAATTAATTATAAGAGATTAATAGTAATGAGATTGAGTAATTTTAATTATATACTTTAAGATGTATTTGAATGCTATCTGTCTCTTGAAATATGCCATTGTGCCTCTCTGACCATTCTTATAATAATGTAAAGTCAGATATCATACCTGTCTGCTGAGGTGAAATGTGATGACCACAGTTGAACTACTCTGTAAGTGGAGCTTCAACACAGGTACTATGATACCTGACAATTGATCTAAGAACCAAACCAATTGTGGCATGACTAATGGGCGGGTAGAATGTATACGGGACAGGTCCTAAGCCATGTAACACTGTATCACATCATACCACTCAGAATATTTGGCCAACTCTTTCTAACATACTCAGTAGTTATAGGGAGATTACAGGTGCTGTCTGCACTCACCTGAAGAGCATCATGGGAAGAGTGAGACCCATCTATGAAAGATGCTCTTTTGTTAAGTTAACCCTTACAGTATACTACTTTAAAACACTTTCTTATCTAAATTATGATAATATCATTTTAACTGATTTCTACACATCTGCCTCTACCTAATTTCATACTATTCTGTAATAGCAACCAGAGTTATTTCTACCTTATAACTGCAGTGTCTTACATTATTTTATTTTTTTTGCAGATAACTCATGTTGTTAATATATACTTATTTATATATATGTTAAATAAATACTTATATATATATGTTAAATATTCTACATTTTACTCATACACATTTATGGAGTAATGTGTGTACTTTAATGCATTATACAATATATAATGTCAGTTTAGGGAAATTGCTGTGTCCAACTTGAACCATGTATCATTTATTTGTATTAGGGGTGTTTAGAATCCTGTCTACTGATTACATTTTTATTTTAATTCTTTCTTTTGTTTTAGAATTTTACACATGGGTTACAGTAGACAAGTCTGGAACTATCATGGTTACTGATGTTATCTGGATATCTGGAGCCCTACTATTCCTTCGGTTGCCTCTCCTTTCCTTTCCTTTTTTGTTCCACTTTGCCTACTTTGGCCCCTTTACACTTGTTCCATTGTGCTATAAATGCTCCCCTCATAGGGGCACTTAAGCCGTGTGCTCTTTTGACTGGGACACTTTTCCCTCATAGTGCTGTGTCTTATTTTGTTCTTTGTTGACTTGTTGCCATCTCAAGATTCTTTTCAGATCACATTAGTTGATATCCCACAGCGATCCATTTCTCCTCCTCTGTTGTAGCAGCCACTTTTGTACTTCTCTGTTTTAGATGTATCTGCCCATGGCCCTATCCTCCAACCTTCTTTCAAGACCTTACAGCTTCTGTAACTCACCAGTCAAGACCTTACCATGTCTGTAACTCACCAGGCTATAGATGGTGAAACAGACTAATTTTGGAAATGATGAGTAATGCAGAAGGAGCAACCAGACTGTGAGAGCACCCTTATAATCAAAGAAGAATACTTACCTCTTTTCTAGATGACATTTAATGCCTGTTGCCTATGTTAGGAAGTTAAAACATTGTTAATAGTCTCTGTGTTTTATTTGCCAAGTCGCCATAAGCACAAGCAACATCTGATGATGTCAGTTTGTCTTCTTGTGATCCTGATGGGAATGTTGTCAAATGATGGCATAGTTTTGCTCGGTTACATATTCACGTCATGAATTACATCAAGGCAGACTTTAATAATACATTTGCTCTTTTCTCCCCATAATGAACTGTATTTGGTTGAGTATGACATTCTTTTGATTTACTGTGCGGTTAAATTTTTTTTAACTTTCAAGTATTACTGGTGTTTGCATGATTTAAAAAACCTTTCATCATCTGGTGGTTTTGATTCTTCATCGTCTAATGAGGATTTGGTTCAGTTACGAATTTGTTCATAAATAGAGTTTCTCCAGTTATACAAATTACCTCATGGCCCACCAAGACCCCTCTCGTATTAAATATTAATTTAGAGAGCCACTGATGGTCATTTTTATCATCAGTTCAGTGACTTAGTAGGCACAGAGAAGAAAGAGGTTGGCTAGTTTCTGTCTAAATCTTTTTTATTTTGGTGTGTGTGTGTTATTTGTTGATGACAAGTTCCTCTTGCTTGTTTGACCTAGAAATCTTCTATCATTCTTTTTTTTAAGATTTATTTATTTATTATGTATACAACATTCTGCCTCCATGTATGCCCACATGCCAGAGGAGGGCGCCAGATCTCATTACAGATGGTTGTAAGCCACCATGTGGTTGCTGGGAATTGAACTCAGGACCTCTGGAAGAGCAGACGGTGCTCTAAACCACTGAGCCATCTCTCCAGCCCCTCTTCTATCATTCTTGATTCTTCCTTTTACACGACGTCTTTAGTCCAGTAGGAATTCCCATGGCTTTGTTAGATTACAGACCCTCCTCTACCTGCCTCTCAGCCACACCGCTCTGCAGCTGACAGGCCTCTGCTGTAAAGGTTAGTGTTTATGGGTGGGATAGGAACACAAAACCAGCTTCCCCTAACCTCTGTATGTGTACAACAAATTTATGGTCTTACCCTGTGTACCCAGCTTCTTGGCATAAAGGCTGTGACAGATCAAATCATGCGATGGAGAATTTATCGCCATCCTCTGAAAACTGTAAAAGGTGGAGAGTTTGGGGGATTTCACTGAAGGTTCTCTTCTTCAGGCTGCCTGTCATGTTATACATGGCAGCTCTTCTATTGAAGCTTCTCTCAAGGGTTTTACAGGAATGTTGTTCTAGTTCTCTCTCTCTCCAGGCCCTACCAGGTTGTGGGCACAACCACTATCTTTTTTTGTTTGTTTGTTTGGTTTTGGTTTTCACATAGGCTCCAGGGTTTTAACTCAGGTCCTCAAGAGAAGAGCCTTTTCCCCATTGCACATCTCCTTACCTGCTGTATGTGCTGTTTTTTTCTGCCATTGGCTGATCTTGAGCTTGTTTTGTGTTTAAAACTTTATGTTGTGCACTCTTCCTCCTCCTCTGTGATTTTGGTTTTGAGCAGCACAAACTTTAATTTACTAGATGCCTAGTCTTCCCCCTTGCTTCTGTCTGCACTGAATCTAAATGGTAATAGCAGTTCACCTCTTGATGTCTGTAAACTGAACGGAACCTTTTTCTAAATTGTTGGGGTGGATTTTGCTTTGGTTTTATATATCCTTTGAAATAACGTAGCCAGGATCTAGACGGTGTCATCAAATGGCTATTTTTGATTAAAATCTTAATGTATTTATGTATGCTTTGAACAGGTAAAACATGTAGTTGTGCCCAAATCTGAAATCTTTGATTTCTAAAGCTATGAAAAGGTAGTAATAGTTAAGTGAACCTCCACATACCAGTCATACTACATCAATATTCTATGTTATTTTGGGAAACTTTGGGTATCTATCAGGCCAAAAGCTCATTAGTAGGTATCCCTCCCAGGACCATGGGATTCCGGTAAAAAGAAGGCTGGTGTGGGACAACTGTCTATATTATGTCAGTTATATTTTAAATAAATGCTTGGTCCAATAAAAAAAAAACATACAACAAAACATGGAGTCTATTTTGCGTTGGCCAACTCTTCCTGGGCATGAGGCCTGCCTTGAAGTGTGGTTGGTAATACCCAGTGACGCATCGTCAGAGAAAACTGATCTCCCCTTTGCCCATGGGTATCAAATGCAGGTAACTTCTTGGTTGGGGTGGGAGTCCTTGTCTACTTCCTCATCTCAGTGCTGGCTGAGCATGCTGCCGCAGTCTCTGTGAGTTCATGTGTGCACCATCGGTCCTGATGTGGCCTTGGGGTCAACCATCACCAGTGGCTCTTGCAGTATTTCTGCCTCCTATTTTCCATAGATCCCTGAGCCTTCAAGGGAACGATTTGATGGAGACATACATTTAGAATTGAGTACCCCAAAGTCTCTCACTCTCTGAACACTGCCTAGTTGTTGGTCTCTGTGTTGATTCTCATCTATTGAAAGAGGAAGTTTCTCTGATGTGGGTTGATTGAGACACTGATTTCTGAGGTTTCCATCTTGTATTCTAAGCTTTTCATTTCCATAAAATCAATTTTGATATTGCCACTTTAATACTGCCATTTATTTAGATTAGTGGTAAAATTACTGTTTCATCATTCCTTCTATAATTAATTATTGAGAGAAACTTTATGGTAATTTGTAGTTTTAATGGACTCATTAACAGTCCCTGATGAATCTTTACGTAATAATCTTTAAGTATTTGTTGTTTTTGTTATTTTTCTTAGACAGGTTTTTCTATATCCTAAACTGGCCTTGAATTTATGGCAGTCTTCCTGTCTCTGCCTCCTGGGTGCAGGATTACAGGTACCTACCATGAGCCTGCCTGAGAAGAATATTCTCATATTCATGATGTTATTGATGCAAGTTTGAAAAGTCTTGATTAAAAATTAAAAATAGCTTCTGAAGCAGATGTTACAACTCTAAATATTTAAAAATATATGTGAGAGTTCAGTGTGGTAGCTATTGCCTATAATTCCACACTTGCAAAGCTGAGGCAGGAGGATTGCTGCATTTTGGAGATCATCTTGTATTTATTTATTTATTTATTTATTTATTTATTTATTTATTTATTTATGTTTTTTTGAGACAGTATTTCTATGTGTAACAGTCTTAGCTGTCCTGGAACTAGTTCTTGTAGACCAGGCTGGCCTCGAACTCACAGAGATCTGCCTATCTCTGTTTTCCAAGTGCTGGGATTAAAGGCATGCACCACCACTTCCTGGCTCTGAGACCGTCTTATGCTTCAGAATGAGTTCCCGGCTGACTTGGGCTGTAGAGTGAGACTGTTGGAAAATAAAAACAAACTTGATATGAGTGTGCAGACATGCTTATGAGATTGGGATCTCAAGGCTCAGGTTTTACTTTGAAATCTTGAGAATGTCCACACTGTACTTCACATGATTCCTGCCGTTCTTCTCACGTAGGTTATTAAGTGTGGTGTGCTGCGATCTGGATGCTCTTCTTTTACTGGAGGCTCAGTATCAAGTATCCAACATGTTACTACATGCTCAGGAAGAAAATACCTTTGAGACCTCAGAGAACCACAGGTCAGCAAATAAAGCAAAAGGTGTCATTAGAGTGATCCTGTTAGCAGTTTGCCTTACAAATGATTTGAAATGAATTTTCTGTATAACTTTTATATTGTCTGAATTACTGCATTTAAATGACAGAGTAAAAAGCCATTTGAGCATGAATGTCCCAGGAAGATAATGATGTATGTTTTTGGAGAGTGCTACATTTATCATTTGTTCCTTTTGTCTTAGGACTTTTTCTTTAGTTTTTCACAAAATCATTCCAATTTTAAATTCACATCACTTCGTACAGTGACCCTTTGAGTAAAAATGCTTGATTTTACATCTCTCTTAGAGCCATTCTGTCCCCAGTTTCCTAATTATGTCAGTTTATAGTCATGCATTATAATTATTTGCCAAGTGAGGTTTTGATCATTTTTATTTTCCTACTAACAAATCACAGTTGTCATTACCTCAGTTTGGCTGACATTTATAGAATACACATTCAGCATCTGCCATTGCTCTCGTGTCTGTAATCCAGAACATAGTAGTTTCACCTCCCTCCTTCCCAGGCCGTTTCATTTGATGCTGAGGTTTGATATAGAAGGAAAAGAGCAGCATTAGAAACGAAACTGCTCTTCAGCAACTCGTGTGCTGTGGACTTGGGCACTGACTCCAGATCAGAGAGAAGCTTGTGTCGCCTTAGTTACATTCTTAGTCTTCAGGGACTGAGCCACCTCTCCAGTCTAGCAGGAGCTTTTCTAAAGATGGTTATGTTACTTCAGAAATAAGACACGTCCTAATCTTGTTTTTGTAAGCACAGGATTATTCATTAAGGAAATACCCTTTGTCTTAGTATTTTTTTGAAGCAATGAGAATTGACGATATAAAAAAAGGACCGGTGCCTTCTGTATTGTAAATATTCCGATGACCAGTGTGTTCTGCAGATACCTTTCGTTTCTGTTTGTTTTGTTGTCATTTATTTTTCTCCTTGCAATCTAGTGACATGATTTAAAAATCAAACCATATTCAATTAAGGAGACAGCAAAACTGATGCATATTCTCTTTCAGGGACTTTATAATTGATGGTTTGTCAGTCGAGAGGAATCATGTTCTTGTAAGGATTAATCTCATTGGTGGACCCTTGGAGCGGATTCTACCTCCAAGGATGCTTGAGAAGGTGCGTGCAATGTTTTGAGATGTTTTAAAGTGAAATAAACAACGGAAGTGGCACTAAACAACATTTCCCAAGTTTCTACGTACCAGCCGTTGATTTGTGTTGCTTGACAAGCTTATAAAACAGGTGAACACATTCAAAATGAAACAGCAGTGATGCCTTCAAGAGCTCATGAGTTGCTGTTGAGTGTCCAGGAGCCATAGATTATTGTTTTATCACAGACTTTTCTGCTGAGTGTCCTTGAGTATTTGTGTGCTGAAGTCTTTCTCTTTCCTGACCCTTCACTGTCGTGTTATTTATGTTTTTCAGTACGGAGTATGTGGGGTCCTTATGGAGTGTAGCTGTTAAGAACGTCCTTTCTTTTACTGCCACCCTGGAAAGGAGGAGCTAGATAGGATTGGCAGAAGAAAAATAGTTTGGGGGTGGGGAAATGCCTTTTGAAGATTATATTTTCCCTTTCATGAAAAAAAGTAAAGCCATTATTATCAGTTCAAATCACAAGAGTAAGTTATCGTAGTCCAACTTGTTTAAAATTTTTATTACATTTGCTTATTGCCTTTTAGGAATAGTGGATTATAGTAGCAAATAACTTGATAATTGGACAAAAGAGTATGAACAAAAATGTCAATTTAAATGAACAATATTCCAGAAAGTATGGAAGTTTAGTATCTTAACCCTCCTCCTGAAGTTTTTTGTGTTGTTGTGTTTGTAGGGGGATGACCCATATCCTTGGCCAATGTTCTCTTCGTATCCATTGCCACACTGCTATTTGTCAGCAGTTCCACGAAGTGCTGATATGAAGCAAGGTAAGTCTTTTCTACCAAACGGTACTCCAGTGTTCTCTTTATAATTTCAGAAGTAGACTGTAAGGACAGTAAATGTAGATTTTCAATCAGCATGTGTGGAGGACAACATTCTGCCCATTTCCTCTTAGTGTGTAGGTTCCCTCCTGTTTGTTTAATTAGTATCTGTATGATGGCAAACAAGTATTACTTGGAGCAAAGGTCTTATAAGTCTGTTCAGTAAAATAAAATAGATGTTTTATTTGGGCCTGAATTAGTAGTGATTGCAGTGATGGCTCAGAAGTTAAGAGCATTTGTTGGTCTTGCAGAGGACCCGTTCATTTTCCAGCACCCACAGGGTGGTTCACAACCATCTGTAACTTCAGGTCTATGGTCTCTGGCTCCCACTTCTGGCTTCCAGGGCATTTGACACACATGTGGTACATGAAGGTAAAACACTCATACACATAAAATAAATACATCTTTCAAACCTGTTTTTTTTTTTTTTTAGAAAACTGAATCAGTAGCTCCTGACTAGTTAAATTCTGCCCATGTAGAAGTTTTCTTTATTCACTAAGGTATTTTTTAAACGACTGCTGTGTTATATAAACCCTGTGGACTTAAGGTCTGAGTTTTACTGGGAAGTACTTTATCCACCTTTGAATAGATAGTTGTTTAGTTATCCAGTGTGACATGAGTAAAATAGACAAATTAGCTTGCTAGGGTAGTATATAAGCCAACTACCTTACCAAACAACATCTTGTGTAGAAGGAGCAGTGTGGCTTTCGTCATCATCTTCTGAGCAGTAAGTAGGTCAACAGTTTTGGAAGAGGAGCCAAAGACCTGCTTGCCTCTTCAGAAGAGCAGTGGGAAGAGACAGTGTGGGGGAGGGGGAGGCAGAGCTTGTTTTTTAAAGGGACCTTTGCACCTGTGTAAAGTCAGGGTACTGTTTGCCATGCGCAGACGGGTGAAGCACTGGGCCAGGTTCCCTAGGGGCAGGGCCACTGTGTGCCTGGATGCTGACAACCCTTCTGGCAATGCTGTGTTTTAAGAAGTATGTTGCCATTCTAGCATCCTTTAGCCTCTTATTTTCCCACATAATTGGAAGTTGTTTGTATTGTATTTCTAGTTGTGAATATCACAAATGTTTGAACCAAATATGTGTCCGAATTTAACCATGGTAGCTGCTGTATTATCCTAGAAAGACTGGTCCTGAACTCGCTGTGGTTCTCATTAAGAAGAAAATGATCTAAGCAGCAGTGATTATGTGAAGATACTCCAGGAAGAGATTTTGCAAAGAGATATTAAGTTTATAATTTCTGTATATCATTCTGATGCTCCTAATATCTGTGCCACAATTGTAGATGAGGGAGAAAAACAGAACGTGCCAAAAGAACTGAAAATTATGTCTAGTTTTTTTCTCAAACATGAGTTTGGTGATCATAGTTCTGTGAACTTAATGAGAAAAATGGACCCAAGTTCATGCTCTGAAAGGTATAAATCAGAACTCATGTGATTGAAACAGTTAAGTAAACATTAACTGTAATATTGTGCTCAAACTAATCATGCTTTAAGACAGAAGGTCCTTTTAGTAGCAGGAGTCATTTGTTTTTCTCTTTGCTTTCTGATTCAGAGGGAATGACTCATTGATTCTGACAGGTGTGAGGTCAGTCATCAGTTCCACACAAGTTTCTAAGATGTTATTTCATTGTTGAAAAAAATCCGTGTCAGTCATGTGCACATGATAAAATTACCCTCATTTATCTCCCAGCTTCTAGTTTTATCCTACTTGCTACAGTTAGCCTCTCCTCACAGGTTAAATTGTCTCCTGTTTGCTTCTTGGCATCAGTATAAGCTGTGAGATGATTAATCTCTATAAATATGAATTTGGAGACATTATCCAGCCTCCCTAGATCTATTTATGAACATTTCGATGCAACATTATTAAAATTTAAGTGGCCATTTAAAAGCTATTGATGAAGATCTCCTGAGTAAATTGGGTGCATGGGGACCTTGGGTGAGGGCTGAAGGGGGAGAGGCAGGGTGGAGAGCAGAGAGAAATGTAGAGCTCAAGAAAAATCAATAAAATTTCAAAAAAAAGCTCAACAGAAAAAAATAAAGGCTATTGATGAATAACTTCCATGTGCATGTGTACACACATGTATATATTGTATGTACACATACTTGTATATTAGCATGGAGCATTAAGTGCAAAGATTACATTGTATATGTTATCAGTTATTAATACTTGAAATATACCTGAACTATCCTAGTGTACTGTTCACTTTTAGAAGACAAACGGGATTGTGTGATGGCCATAAAGCAGGTGCAGGTTAGCAGGTTAGGAGCTGCCATCTGAAACTGCTGGAGGCTAGCTCACAGCTGCAACTGATGGAGGCTAGATCATAGCTGGAACTGCTGGAGGCTAGCTCATAGCTGGAACTGATGGAGGCTAGCTCATAGCTGGAACTGCTGGAGGCTAGCTCATAGCTGGAACTGCTGGAGGCTAGCTCATAGCTGGAACTGATGGAAGCTAGCTCATAGCTGGAACCGCTGGAGGCTAGCTCATAGTGTCCTTCCTGTTCGCAACAGGATGCTTGTAAGGTGGTATTCTGAGTTGCTTCTTTGTATTCTCTAAGCTAGATTCCCTCAGGAGTTGTTATGAGCTGTTTGCCAGTCTGCTCCTCTTTATTCTCTTTTCATGGATGTAGAATGAAGACTTTTTTCTATAAGAGGTGAGAGAAATGTAGACTTCCTATGGTGAAACTGAAAAATTGTCTAAGGAATCGAGTAACATACTCTAGATATTGAAAGCATTAAAAAGAAATATCTCAGAAAATAAGTAATTTTCTGTTTTTCTATATCGTATATCTTTACTATTTTTAAAAATTACTTTTATCCCAGCTGGGCAGAGCTTTCCCCAAGTACTTTAATGGGTAAATACTGGCTGAGCAAGTATGAGGATACAAGTGCAGATCTTGGCCGTCACATAAACACTGGATGTAGCGGCACACATGGTGGAGGAAACAGACAGCCGGATCCTTTGGACTCACTTGCCAGTCAGTCTAGCCTAAATGGCAAGATCTCGGTTCTCTAAGAGACCACATCTTAAAATAGAAAATGGCGAAACAACTCAAGACATTTCAACACCAACCTCTGGCCTGCACACATGTCTGCACAGCAGAGCACACCTGCACACTTGGGCACATACAAGTATGCTACAGGGAGAGACTACACACACAAATTGCCTTTCTGTGACCGACATAAGCAAACTCTAATATATTCATATTCCATGTATCTCAGTGCTGAAGCACCACATCCAGTATAACTCCAGGAACAGACCTGCCTCGGGCAGCAAGGGAATGACAAAAGACAAAACACAGACATAAGTGAAGCAGTGATTGGGTAGTCTGAACTCCTGTGGAGAAGCTTCCGCATATTTATTATATACAGTTGAACAGAGAGGCAGATTATTGCATACTGCTGGATAAAGAGTTAATGTTATTCCAGACAGACAAACATGGAGGCAGGGCTTATGGCATACGACTGCATCAAGGAGATAGGTTTAGCTAATCTGAGTAGGAGCAGTCTCTGTAGGGGTATGGTCTTCAGGATGGAAATGTCCAGGCAGAGGAAGCTATGATGAACATGTTCTGCACATGCCATCAACATTACCATGTGGACTGGAGGAAAACTTTGCCATCCCTCTGAGCCGTAGCCTTGGGGGAAGGCCTATTTTCCCATGAGCCAGAGGCTTTGGGATCTTGGCATGGCCACGCTCATGTCAACAATACATATTCACTTAGGACTTCCACACATTGTGGAATTCTTTTTATAACGTGATATTATTTTGATGTACATTTTATTCAGTGGGTGCTGGCATCCTCAAAGAGGAGAGCATGCCGTTTGTCTTTCTCGTATATTGTTAAGTCCACCGATAAGTCCCTGAGGTAGCACTAACTCACTGGTTGTTCTCTCGGGTCTTAGAAAAGTATGTGGTCCATTTGTCAGAAGCTACAAATATTGTGGTACCTTCTTACAGAAGGGAAGTTTTTTTAATGTTCTCAGGAATTCATTGGTGACCACTCCTTACTTGTCCATTCCTCTGCAGGCCTTTCCAGAAGGTTTACTTGCTTGCACCTAAGTAGAGTGATAGCTAGTGTAAACTACCTGTGTAAACACGTGCACTTCTTCCCTGCTCTTTCCCTTCATTGCCTTTCATCTCTGTTCTGAGAGTAATTTTCCTTCATATTCTGGATTAATCATGCAGATATCTTTCACTCTCATTAGTAGCTATATTGAGATATAATTAATATGCCATATAATATACCCTTTTAAAGAAGACAATTCATGGATTTGTCATCTTTTTAGTATATTTATGAACATATTAATTTTTTAGTGAATTTATGGACATATCCATTCATAGCCTCAAAGTGATAAAGTCAGCAATCTTGGACTAAAACCTCTGAAACTGTGAACCAAAGAATTCTGTATTCCTTTTGCTGTTTTACCACAGCATCAAAAATCTAAGTAAAACAGGTTGTATGCAATAAATACAATGTATTCAATGATTAGAAGAATGAACTTGAGATTTCGTATTCTTTTATAATACCAACATCAAATATTGTATTTCTCACCTTTGTCATTAGACCCTAGAAATTATTTACAAATTAATGTGACTTTAGAAATTTTTGCTCTCAGCTGCAATAGCCTGAAATCTAACTAAACATCCACACATAGCTTTGTAGTTGAAAGCTCCTTGTAGAAGACTTCTCTATACTTCTTTTTTGGATTTGGGTACTTTATTACACTTCCTGTTTCATCTACCAAATGTCACTGTCATTTCTAATGATGCAAAAATGTATGCTTTGCTAACTCTTATCCTATTTTTTCACAATTAGAAAAAAAAATCTCAAGATGTTCAACCTTTCACTGTAAATTATTTAGCCTTTTGTAGTACCAGTGTTCTGTTTACTGCTTCTTCCATCGTATTTCTAGTCTCCCGATGGGAAATTGATTTTCTG